TCAAACGGGGCGGGGGGGGGGAGATATTGTGGCTGAACTACATGTAGTAGAAATAGAATAGAATAGAACAGAACAGAACAGAATAGAATAGAATAGAATAGAATAGAATAGAATAGAATAGAATAGAATAGAATAGAATAGAATAGAATAGAAAATATAGAATAGAACAGAAAACATGGAATGGAATGGAATAAAACAGAATATAGAATAGAATAGAATAGAATAGAATAGAATAGAATAGAATAGAATAGAAAATATGGAATGGAATGGAATAGAACAGAATATAGAATAGAATAATAAAATACAGAATAGGAATAGAATAGAATTTAGAATAGAATAGAATAGAAAATATGGAATAGAATAGAATAGAACAGAAAATATGGAATAGAACAGAATATAGAATAGAATAGAATAGAAAATATGGAATGGAATGGAATAGAACAGAATATAGAATAGAATAGAATAATAAAATACAGAATAGGAATAGAATAGAATTTAGAATAGAATAGAATAGAAAATATGGAATAGAATAGAACAGAAAATATGGAATGGAATGGAATAGAACAATATAGAATAGAATAATAAAATACAGAATAGGAATAGAATAGAATTTACAATAGAATAGAATAGAAAATATGGAATAGAATAGAATAGAACAGAAAATATGGAATGGAATAGAACAATATACAATAGAATAGAATAGAATAGAAAATATGGAATGGAATGGAATAATATAGAACAGAATAGAATAATAAAATACAGAATAGGAATAGAATAGAATAGAATAGTTGGAAGGGACCTTGGATGTCTTCTAGTCCAACCCCCTGCTCAGGCAGGAAACCCTATACCATTTCAGACAAATTGGTTGTCCAATCTCTTGGAGCAGTGTTGGAGCATTCACCGCTTCTGGAAGCAGGTGGTTCCACTGATTAATTCTAACTATCAGGAAATTTCTCCTTAATTCCAGGTTGCTTCTCTCCTTGATGAGTTTCCATCCGTTGCTTCTTCTCCTGCCTTCAGGCGCTTTGGAGAATATAGCTTGACTCCCTCTTCTTTGGGGCAGCCCCTGAGAAACTGGAAGACTGCTATCATGTCCCCCCTCATCCTTCTCTTCATTAAACGAGAGATCTCCAATTCCAGCAACCGTTCCTCATATGTTTCAGCCTCTGATCATTTTGGTTGCTCTTCTCTGCACTCTTTCTAGAGTCTCAACATCTTTTTTACATCGTGGTGACCAAAACTGGATGCCGTATTCCAAGTGTGGCCTTACCAAGGCCTTGTAAAGTGGTATTAACACTTCACGTGATCTTGGTTCTATCCCTCTGTTAATGCAGCCTAGCACTGTGTTGGCCTTTTTGGCAGCTGCAGCACACGGCTGGCTCATGCTTAAGTGATTGTCTACTAGGACTCCGAGGTCCCTCTCACAGTTACTAGTATTGAGCAAGGTAATCCCGGACCTTACGACCACCCTGGGGGGGGTGGGGGTGGCAGAACTTCCACTAGTAAGCAAGAAGATGGTTAGGCGAATTGCGCTCTGTTTTACGACCTCTTTGCTGCGCTTGCCAAGTGAATCGCTGCAGACGTTAAGTGAATCAGACAGTCCTTAAACAAACCCAGCTTCCCCCCCCCGATTGACTTTGCGTGTCCAAAGCCAGTTGCGAAGCTCACAAATAGTGATCCCAAGACCCTGCAACCATTGTAAACGTTGGTTGCCAGGTGCCAGGATTCTGATCACGTGACCTTGGCGACGGACGTAAGTGCGAGGCCTGCTTTCAAGTCACTTTTTTTCAGCGATGTTGGAAGTTTGGTTGCTAAATGAATGGCTTGCAAGTCAAGGACCGCCTGCATCACAAAAAGAAATTAGATTTAGAGGATTTAAAAAACAACAACAGGCCCCTGAAAAAAATTGTTCTGGTCTTGATAGTTTTATAAGAATCGAGTGTTTTGAACTGAGACCGGCAGCAGTTTTGAAAAGTTTATTTTTATAATCTGTCTTGAGAAGGATAAAGGATATTTAACTGTCGGTTTTGTCACATTGCATATAGAAGTTTAAAGTCCAAAAATGGTTGCTGAAAGGTATTTCCATGGATTGGACTGTTCGGCTTATGGAATTAGGATTCGTCATTCACACAACCCACGGAAGTATAAACTGATTCAAAATTCAAACTAAATTAAATGGATACGTGGACTAAAATTTTGCCTCCGGGTTTAAACAGCTCCCTTCCGAAACATCTTAAGTCTCTGTTTAAAGAAAGAATTCCATAATAAATAATATTTCTGGGAACACCTTTTCTTGGTCTGTTTGGAAACATCACACAGGTGATCCTCGATTTACAACCGCCAATTGGAGCCCCAAATCTCCGTCCTTAAGTGAGACATTTGTTCAGGGACTTTTGCCCCGTTTGACGACCATTCTCGCCTCAGTTGTTAAGGGAGTCACCGCAGATGATAGGTTGAGGTAACGGTTGTTAAGTGACTCCAGCTCCCCCCCCCAATGACTTTGATTGTCAGAAGGTTGTAAAAGGGGATCACGTGACCCGGGGTGCTGCGACCGTCATAAACGTGAGGCAGTTGCCAAGCAGTTGAATTTTGATCACCTGACCACGGGATGCTACCAAAGTCGTAAGTATGAAAAGCGGTCGTAACTGACTTTTTTCAGTGCCTTTATAACTTTGAACAGTTACTAAATGAACTAGCTGTGTCCAGATTGTCTTGAAGGTGGAATGGCCCAACCCCTACGAAATTGGGGAATATCATGGGTTTACACATTTTTACAAAGTAAAATTTTTGATTTTGAGAGGATTATGTCATTGATAACATTATACTCCCACCAAGCAGTTTGGGGTAACTCAAGATCCTGATAATAATAACATTTTTTTCCTCTCTCCAGTTCTTTCCATTCAGCGTTTTGTTTCCCCCCCCCCCCCAAAAAAAAATATTTTACTGTTTCACTGCTTTTTTTTTTAAAAAAAAAAATGTTTCTAGGAACACAACAGTGTTAAGAACACTCCAGACAACACTCCAGAAGTTACAGGCTTAAGATACAAAAGGATCTGGACAGACTCAAACACTAGGCACTATCTAACAAAATGAAATTCAAGGGTGAAAAAAATAAGGTTCTACATTTAGGCAAGAAAAACCAAATGTATAGGTATAGTATAGGGCCGGGGTAGGCAACCTCGGCTCTTTTATGACTCATGGACTTCCAACTCCCAGAATTCCTGAGTCAGCATACCTACCCCTGGGGGTACCTTGCTCAATAGTAGTAACTGTGAGAGGGACCTCGGAGTCCTAGTGGACAATCCCTTAAATAGGAGCCAGCCATGTGCTGCAGCTGCCAAAAAGGCCGACACAGTGCTGGGCTGCACTAACAGAGGGACAGAATCAAGATCACGTGAAGTATTAATACCACTTTACAAGGCCTTGGTAAGGCCACACTTGGAATACTGCATCCAGTTTTGGTCACCACGATGTAAAAAAGAAGTTGAGACTCTAGAAAGAGTACAGAGTAGAGCAACAAAGAGGATCAGCAGACTGGAGGCTAAAACATATAAGGAACGGTTCTGGAATTGGGGATGTCTAGTCTAATGAAGAGAAGGACGAGGGGGGACATGATAGCAGTCTTCCAATAGCTCAGGGGCTGCCCCAAAGAAGAAGCAGTCAAGCTATTCTCCAAAGCACCCGAAGGCAGGAAAAGAAGCAACAGGTGGAAACTAACCAAGGAGAGAAGCAACCTAGAACTAAGTAGAAACTTCCTGACAGTTAGAACAATTAACCAGTGGAACCACCTGCCTCCAGAAGCGGTGAATGCTCCAACACTGGAAGTTTTTAAGAAGAGACTGGACAGTTATTTGTCCGAAATGATGTAGGGTTTCCTGCCCGAGCAGGGGGTTGGACTAGATGACCTCCAAGGTCCCTTCCAACTTTATTACTATTACTATTACATAACATCACCATGTTAGTAATTAGTCCTGTTAAAATACATAAAATAATATTTTCTCAGGTTTTTTGGTTTCCTTTTCTGTTTGCCATTTGTCACAAAAAAAAAAAGAGGAAACTCAAAAAGCCGTTGACTCATTTTAAAACTTGAGACTTTTAAAACTGTTTCCAGGAAGTGGAGGGGACGCACCAGTCTTCCAGTCATGAACAAAAATGTGGCAAGATTTCTTGTGAACTCATGAACAATGCAGTTTATTTTAAAAAATTCAGTGGCCACCAAACTATTAGATCAGGGTAGTTATTTACATTTTCGGCTGAGGATTTACAGAATGATAGAGTTGGAAGGGATCTTGGAGATATAGATAGATAGATAGATAGATAGATAGATAGATAGATAGATAGATAGATAGATAGATAGATGGATGGATGGATGGATGGATGGATGGATGGATGGATGGATGGATGGATGGATGGATGGATGGATAATCTCAGGTCTAAGGAATGCTTATAGGGAACAATTGCTTATATCATGCACCTCTGAGATCAAAATGCACTTGCTTGCAACCACAGGTATAAAAATGCTGGAAAGTTTTGTTTCTGGTCACTTGCTGTGGGAACCCTTAGCGAGCCATTCAGCAGAATTAAATTTATCTCAAACTTTGGTGTATGATTAATTGGGCTAGCACCGCCAGGCAAGGAACCCCAGCCTTTTGGGATCAATCACTGAAAATAAGATAGCTAACAAATCTAAAGCAAAGCATGCAAAATTACTGAACTAAGCTACCAAGATGACATCAGCCTGCAATTCGTAGATCAAAGCTCCATTTCCAGGCATATGTGATTGGCATGGTGAGGTCAGGCTGTACTCCCAGGGTTGCTAGGCAACCTATCCTCCCTAATCAGTTTCCCTTTGATCCTTGCAAATCCGCTGCAAGATAAAACTTATTAAAGCTGGCTGAAGCATTCCTAAGGTGTTGCTTTGTGCAAGCATGGGAAAAGTTAGCAAAAGTTAGCCTTTCAGCTTGAATGCTGCAAAATAAAGCACATTAATTGTAGGAATAATAGACTGAGAAAAACAAAGGCCTCTAATAAAACATTTAGCCATTTCTCTCTGCTAAATTAACAAAAGGAAATTGCAAAGGAAGACAGAAAGGCTGTTTCTTTTGTGATTTTTTTTACAGCGCTGTTTTCCCCAATCTGGGTCTTTCCGGTTGTGTTGGACCACAACTCCCATCAACTCCCAATCATTCTGATACAGGACGATGGAATATGTAATACAGCCTGTTTAGAAAGGCCAGGATGTAAATGGCTGAGTTGGAATTTTTCTGTACTATTTGCTTTGATAAGGACCAAAGTAGGGGGAGGGAGGGAAATGGGTTTTTAACCCATTCTGTTTTTATTTTATTTTATTTCCTTAATTTATGGTAAGTTTCGTATTTAGAGCCCATCCGTCTCACTTACAGAGCAACCGTTTTAACCCTCACGACAGCCTTGCAAGGTGGGCTCGGCTGACCAAGAAAGACAGTCCTGGATACCTATTGTGAATTATTCTATTCTCGCGATACCTTGTCAGTGTATAAACAGATGGGGTATTGTGTCTTTATTTTTCATGTTTTTATTCATTTTATTGCAATTTTTTTTGTGAGCTGCCCAGAGTCATTGAGAGTTTGATGGCAAGTTTATTTAAGTAATAGTAATAATAACAACAGACATGTGATATTAGCAGTCATATTAATTGGGCTAGAAACCAGGTGATTGTGAGTTCTAGTCCCATATTTGCCCATGAAAGCCAGCTGGGTGGCTTTGGTCCAATCACCAGGAGACCGAGAGTTCTAGTCCCGCATTTGCCCATGAAAGCTGGCTGGGTGACTTTGGGCCAATCACCAGGAGACTGAGAGTTCTAGTCCCCTCTTAGCTATGAAAACTATCTGGATCACTTTGGGCCTATTGCCAGGAGATGGTGAATTCTAGTTCCACCTTAGCCAAGGTAACTAGCTAGGTGACTTTGGGCCATTCTCTGTCTAGCCCAATCCACCTCACAGGCGTGTTGCTGTGGGGAAGATAGGAAGAGGAAGCAATATTAGGCATGTGGGCTACCTTGAATTGTTCATAAAAATAATAATGGTGGGATATAAATTAATTAATTAATTAATCTCTGGGGTGAAGAACACTGTCTCCAGGGGAAATAGGGAGGGCAAAATCACTGTGCACTGTGATTGGATGGTTTTCCTCTCAAACTCTTTCATCTCATTGGTCAAGCTTAGCAAGAGGGTGGGTGAATGAGCCTTGGGGCAAGAACCTAAGCAAAAAAGACTGAATGGCATTTATACTACCTGAGAACCGAAGAGGTAAGATTTGATTGGCTACAACTCCAGACAGCCTTCTTATTGGTCCACCCTCCCAAAAGAAACCCGGATGACAACAGGTGTTGGGCTCCATCCAATCAGGAGGATGGAGCTGCTCAATTGCCCACAGAGTGGGGGGGGGGTAGGGCAGAAGAGTGAATACTGTACAGAGATGTGATTGGTTGGAACTATGGAACTAACGTCTTGTCTCCAAGCTGGAAGAAACCTTCACCTTTTTCTTCATGCCGGGATTGGCTGAGCCGTTAAAGGAGGGAGAGATTCTTATTGGCCAGAGCTTTGGAAAACAGCAGTGATTGGTCCAAAGTTGTTCTTTTAGAGGCAAAAGCCTACACCTGTTTCATTTGATGTCTAGGATACACTGAGGGAATTTAGAGACTTTAATTTACAAGAATCATTTGGAATCCCAACCTTTTCCTCTCTTAATTCCAATTAATCCCTTAATTACTTCATATTTTTTTTAAAAAATCACTCACCAACCAGGTCCCCCATTTTGGGGATGGCTTAACTCTTTCAGTGTATCGTTTTTTTCAACTTAATTCTCAATAATTGCAATAATTAACAAGATAGAGTTGGTCAAAAGCTCCAAGCCATTGGTTTTTACTCCAGTTAAACCACCTTAATTTACTATTAGGCACTAATTAAGCCCCTTTTTAATTGTCTTTTTTTTGGGGGGGGGGAATCTGCCTAATTCCTAATACTCTGTCCTCATTTACTTCTCACAATTAATACAATTAAGATTTATTTTGAATGATATGATCCATTGGGCTTCAGTTCTTTCTGATTCTGATTGATTCTTATACAATAATTAGTTATAGGCCTAAAAGGGGTCATTCTCAATAAATTCTGCTTATTAACCTGTTCATGTGACCCTTTTAATTTAAAAGCATTGCTAAAAAAAAATCTCCACAACTCCACTCTACATCTTTTCACTTTAAATGTCGATAAAAAGCCTAATTTTTTATGAAATAATGAAATAATTTAAACTTTATGAGGAAGAAAAAGTGCCCTAAATTTGATGCTGTCTCAAATCAAACTGAGGCATTGAGATTACTTGATTTCTGAGATCAGACAAACTCCTGACTTCAAACAGACTTAAATATATCTGTCTCTTGATCAATTTGAATAATATACATATAAAATAATACAATAATACAATAGATAGGATATAGCTTTCTTTTCTGGAAAAGGGCCACTCTTTCGAAGAAAGCACAAACATCCCTCCATATATATATATATATATATATATATATATATATATATATATATATATATTACAATTTCTAAAAATCACACAACCTTATTGTTTTTCTTCCTCTTATTCTTAAACACTTATTCCACCATGTTCTACTATCCCAGCGTTCTGCAACGCCATACCGGGCGCTTTTCTACAATTTGGTAATTGCTTTGGTTGGGAATTCAGAGGTTGGGTGCAGTAGAATAGAGTTAAGGGGGTCTTAAAGCCCACCCCACAGATTGACATTGTCTTATGTCCCACAGGTTGGCAGCCACTGGTGCCGCTAAACTCCTAAAGCGGGAATATCTGAAAGTCAACGTTCCCCAAACCTGGTGAGTGACAGGTGACTTCCCTAAAAGAGGAATTGAGACCTGCTGAGTAGATGTTTTTTTTTATTATTATAGGTCATTCTAGGGCAGTGGTTCTCAACCTTTTTAATGCCGCGACCCCCAACCGGTCGTAAGTCAAGGACTACTCAATTGGTCGTAAGTCGAGGACTACTCAACTGGTGCAGCACCGTTTGCAGAATGGGACTTTTGGCAGGCTCAGCAGGGCAGAGACAGCCTGGACAATTCCTATTGGCTTTTGAAAGCCAATAGAATTAGACTCTATTCAAGAGAGTCTATTCTATTGGCTTTCAAAAACCAATAGAATAAAAGGGAGGAGCACAACTAAGGAAAAGCGGGAAAAATGGCGGACTGCGTTTTGGCGACCCCCATGAAATGGTCGTTCGACCACAAATGGGGTCCCGACCCACAGGTTGAGAACCACTGGACTAGAGACTTACGATCACAGTTGAGCCCCAAAATTTTGTTACTAAGTGAAACCTCTGTTAAGTGAATTTTGTCCCATTTTACGACCTTTCTTGCCACAGTTGTTAAGTTAGTAACGTGGCTGTTAAGTGAATCTGGCTTTCCCTCTTGACCTTTGCTTGTCAGCAGGTTGCAAAAAGGGGAATCATAGGATCCCAGGACGCTGCGACCGTCATAAATATGAGGCAGTTGCCATGCGGCTGAATTTTGATCCCGTGACCAGCGGCCGTTAAGAGCGAAAAACGGTCCCAAGTCATTTTTTTAAAGTGACGTTGTAACTTTGAACTGTCACTGAAAGATCTGTTGTAAGTTCTTTTGTAAGCCGAGCCCTTACAATGTTTTTGTATCGTACTCACAATAGTAATTATTGCGATTTCTTTGAAGAGGGCAGGATCTATATAAGTTGTCCTCAACTTGCGACGGCATTTGAGCCCAAATTTTTTCATTGCTAAGCAAGGCAAAACAGAACAGATCAGACCAGAACAGAATAGAATAGAAATAGAATAATAAAATACAGAACAGAACAGAACAGAACAGAACAGAACAGAATAGAATAGAATAGAATAGAACTGGAAGGGACCTTGGAGGTCTTCTAGTCCAGCCTCCCGCTCAAGAAGGAGAACCTATACCGTCTCAGACAAGTGACTATTGTAGTCTTTTCTTAAAAACCTCTAGTGATGAAGCACCTACGACATTACTAACCAAGGCAGAACAGAACAGAACAGAATAAAATAGAAATAGAATAATAAAATACAGAATAGAATAGAATAGAATAGAATAGAATAGAATAGAATAGAATAGAATAGAATAGATATTGGAATATAGAATAGAATAGAATAGAATAGAACTGGAAGGGACCTTGGAGGTCTTCTAGTCCAGCCTCCTGCTCAAGCAGAAGAACCTATACCGTCTCAGACAAGTGACTATCTTAGTCTTTTCTTAAAAACCTCTAGTGATGAAGCACCTACGACTTCTGGTGGCCAGCTGTTCCACTGGTTAATTGTCCTCACTGTCAGGAAGTTTCTCCTTCGTTCCAGGTTGCTTCTCTCTTTGATCAGTTTCCACCCATTGCTTCTCGTCATTCCCTCTGGAGCTCTGGTGAACAACCTGGTTTTTGATGTATATAAATGTATACGAATATTACCTGCATTTCCTTTTCCTTACAGCGAGGAGATCATGGCGTACATCCTGGTCCGCGTCCCGTCGCCAGTTCCTGGGTCATCCCGGCCACGATTCTCACTCTACCTCTCCGCTCAGTTGCAGTACGGTGTGATCTTGGTCTACAGTCGCCAGTGTCAATATCTTGTGGGTACGATTTGTTTCCCAACTCGCTGGAAGTTCTCAGTCTTCCAGGGTCGGGTCCGTCCTAAATTGGCTTTTGCAACTGGACTGTCTTGTTTGTCTTTGAGGACGTTTCGCTTCTCATCCCAGAAGCTTCCAAGAATGGTGACCAGTCAGAGCTGAAGAAGCTTCTGAGATGAGAAGTAAAAGTCCAGTTGCCTCCTGAAAAAAAGCACCTTTGGGACAAGGGGCAGCTGGTAGCATCTTTAAAATAAAAGTTTGATGAAAAGGCAGACCTTTTGCATCTCAGATGCATCTCACAAAAGTTGCTTCTCTTATACAGTGTTTCCCAAACTTGACAATTTTAAGGTATGAGGACTTCAACTCCCAGAATTCCACAGCCAGCCATGCTGGCTGGGGAATTCTGGGAGTTGAAGTCCACCCTTCTTAAAGAGGTCGAGATTGAAAAACATTGCTGTGTAGGCTAAAATATAAAGTCTTTTTGGTTTTTAGTGGTTGGGTGCAACACATCTGGAAGAAGTTAAATCAAGCAATTGGAATGAAAACCATTTCTGCCTTTTATTTCCCTTCCAGAATTTTCTCCCCCGGGGTTTTCCGAAATTAATCACTGATATGTTTTGGAAACATTTGGATTAAGAACGTGAGAAGCATTGCTTCCACGTTTGGGTGATTCCCCTGGTTCTGATTTTTTCTCTCTCTCTCTTTTCAGAGGAAATTCAACACAGCTTGGAGCTCCTTAGCCGTGCCCGTCAACAAATAAGGATTGATCTGACCGACCTTGAGCAGTGAGCCATTGAGATTTTCCCTGACTGATTTAAAAGGCCTGTGATTTTGGGGGGGGGGGTGTTAGGGTTCCTCGGCAAGATCATTCTTTTTCTTGTTTTATGTGTGTTATGTACGTGTACACTTTTGAGAGCAGAATTTCATTTTTAATGTGTGCCAGTGTGCCCACAGTAAAAAATGACAATAAAGGGTATCTTATTTTATCTCTTATCTCTTATCTCATTGCTTATCACTTATCTATCCTATCTTAGCTTACATTACCTTATCTATTATCTATTTATTATCTATTATCTATTATCTATCCTATCTTACCATTCCTTATCTATTGTCTATTATCTACTATCTATTATCTATCCTATCTTGCCTTACTTTACCTTATTTATTATCTATCCTATCTTACCTTACCTTATCTATTGTCTATCTATTATCTATCCTTTTACCTTACTTTACCTTATCTATTATCTGTTATCTATCCTATCTTACCTTACCTTATCTATTGTCTATTATCTATTATCTATCCTATGTTACCTTACATTACCTTATCTATTATCTATTTATTATCTATTATCTACCCTATCTTACCATACCTTATCTATTGTCTATTATCTATTATCTATCCTATCTTACCTTACTTTACCTTATCTATTATCTATTATCTATCTTACCTTACCTTATCTATTGTCTATTATCTATTATCTATTATCTATCCTATCCTATCCTATCTTATCTTACCTTATCTATTGTCTATTATCTATTATCTATCCTATCTTACCTTACTTTACCTTATCTATTATCTATTATCTATTATCTATCCTATCTTACCTTACCTTATCTATTGTCTATTATCTATTATCTATTATCTATCCTATCTTACCTTACCTTATCTATTGTCTATTATCTATTATCTATTATCTATTATCTATTATCTATCCTATCTTACCTTATCTATTGTCTATTGTCTATTGTCTATTCTCTATTATCTATCCTATCTTACTTACTTTGTCTATTGTCTGTTGTCTATATATTATATATTATATATCCTCTATCTTATCTTACCTTATTTATTGTCTATTGTCTATTATCTATTATCTATCCTATCTTACCTTATCTATTGTCTATTGTCTATTCTCCATTCTCTATTCTCTATTCTCTATTCTCTATATTATCTATCCTATCTTACCTTACCTATTATCTATTATGTATTATCTATTCTCTATTCTCTATCCTATCTTATCTTACCTTACTTTATCATTCTCTTCTTCCCAACTCCAGACCAGGCCTGCTGGTTCCGGATCAACTGGCTCTAATGGAAGCTCTGGAGGAAGCCCCCGACCCCTTTTTCGGCCTGATGGAACCGCTGCTGCCTAGTCCTTTCTCCATCCCACATGTAAGAGCCTTCTTTTTGAAGGTGCCCTTGCTATTCTCTTTGCCCTAATCCCTTCACCACATCCGGCTTTCGCGATCCAATCTGCAAGCTCTTCCAGTTTCTGTGTAGCGAGTTCCAATCCAGCGCTGGGCCTCTCCAGGGAAAGGGAAAGGTCCCATTTGAGCTCAATTCGCATCACCCAGTTTCCTGGGCAGCGGATTTTTTATTGATTGATTGATTTATACGAGCCACGGTGGCAGATCACTTGCAATGGCGGGGTTTCCTTGTGGTGTCCCATCCATACTAACCACACCTGGCTCTGTTTAGCTCAGCTAAGGTCATCTAGCTGATCCGGAACGGCCAAAATTCCCACACGTGGCAGAAGAATCCAATTCCTGGCACAATGTCAGACTGACCGTCTTCCTCTTTTTCCAAGGTCCGAGACATCTTGGAGGCCCCAACTCCTGACAGAAGTCCTCTGGAACGGTCCCCAACCTCCGTCCCGCCTCGCAGGGCAGGTAAGACCGAAAGTCAGGACTGCAGTTTGGGGGGGGGGCTGATGGTAGAAAGTCTCTCATCCTCAGGCAGACGGGAAGCAGGTTTGACTTTCAGGAAGACATGTAAAACCCACAAATGCAAATCCCGACAACCGCTTCGAGTTGTGGGAGGATGTGGTGACTCGCACCACAGAGGCTTTGCAGAGGCTTCGCTTCCTCTGCTCAGCTTCGGGTGTGAAACTGAAACTGCCCAGAAGTTGTGAAGCCAAGTGTGAAAACCTCCTCACGGGGCCTGTTTCAGCTGCCACTTTCAAAGCATTGCAGGAAGAGGTGGTGTCTGTGGAGATCCACGATCCTTTTTTTTTTAATAACAAATTTTATTGTTTTTTTTAATTTTTACAACAAAATGCTCAAGACACACGGTGGTGGTTGGGTGATCAGTTGTCCAGAAACAAAATCATATAATACCTCGAGTAAATACATTAAATGTTCCCTCTCTATTTCCCTCAAATAATCTAACATATTTAAAACAATCCATTTCTGCATTTCATTTCCATAAATCCTAATCCCGTTTTGAACTTTATTAATTTACAATTACCATAGTCCAATTTAATCTTAGATTAAACATATGATCACTTCGGGTATTCCTTCTAAAATACAAATCCAGATCTATTCTGGCTCTTAATCTCATAAATCATTGATTTTATCACAAATCTCTCTTATTTCTTCTTCCGCTACAAAATACGTATCCTGGTGAAAAATAAAATATTACTCTACTCTATACATAGGCAATCCATCAGTCAGTCAATCCACGATCCTTTAGGTCACCATTGTCCCAAAGCTGCTTTTTCCAAAGGCCACTGGACTTCCTCTCTTGAAGACGTTTCGCTTCTCGATCCAAGAAGCTTCCTTCAGTTCTGACCAAATGGCGGAGGATGGAAGGATTGATATTCCTTTGCAGTCATCTGGTCGTTAGTACTCCCTATGAGAATCATTGAGGCCACTTGGAGGTTTATTTGAGCCCTCAGGGTCACCTAAATCAGGGTGCAAATAGGTGTGGAACTTTATTTGAAACTGCTGAAAGGACTGTGTGGTAAACAGGAGGAGAGGTGGTGTCGTATCCCTCCCCCTCTGTTGAGAGAGGACTCTTCCGTCTTAATGTAGATGGCCTCTTTGACTCCTCTTCTGAACCCTTTTCTCAACCCAGGGGGGGTTACAACAGCCCCATCTCCTGTTTAAACAGAGTCCTTTCAGCAGTTCCAAGAAGGCTCCACACCATAATAATAATAATAACAACAACAACACCCCAGACTTAACAATTGTCGATAAGAAAGACAAAAAAGTCTGGATAGTGGACGTGGCAGTGCCTGGAGACAGCAGAATAGATGAGAAAGAACTGGAGAACATAAAGACCAACAAATAGAAATAGAAATAGAAAGACTGGGGCAAAGGCAAGCAAGGGTAGTACCAATAGTCATAGACTCCTTGGGTGCAATCCCAAAACAACTGGAGCACCACTTGAACACCATCGGCATTGACAAATTCACTATTAGTCAATTGCAAAAGGCGGCCTTACTAGAAACTGCTTATCCTGCGACGATACCTGTAATACCATCAAACATCCACATCTGCCTATCCCAGGTCCTTGGTAAGACTCGATAGGTAGACAAAATGCCAAATCCAGTCTGAACATCTGGCTGACTGTGCGATGATCCATAATAATAATAAAGTTGGAAGGGACCTTGGAGGTCATCGAGTCCAACCCCCTGCTCAGGCAGGAAACCCTACACCATTTCGGACAAATGGCTGTCCAGTCTCTTCTTAAAAACTTCCAGTGTTGGAGCATTCACCGCTTCTGGAGGCAGGTGGTTCCACTGGTTAATTGTTCTATCTGTCAGGAAGTTTCTCCTGAGTTCTAGATTGCTTGTCTCGTTGATTAGTTTCCATCCATTGCTTCTTGTCCTGCCTTCAGGTGCTTTGGAAAATAGCTTGACTCCCTCTTCTTTGGGGCAGCCCCTGAGATACTGGAACACTGCTATCATGTCCCCCCTTGTCCTTCTCTTCGTTAAACTAGACATACCCAATTCCAGCGCCTGAAGGCAGGAGAACAACATCTATCGGCTGTGGCCAGGGGGACCTTTGCCCAGGTTCGCCTGGTGCACCAGTTGCAGCCTTATCTGGACCGCGAGGCTTTACTCACAGTCACTCATGCCCTCGTCACCTCAAGGCTGGATTACTGTAATGCGCTCTACATGGGGCTACCCTTGAAGAGTGTTCGGAGGCTGCAGTTGGTTCAGAATGCAGCCGCGAGAGCGATCGTGGGCGCGCCAAGGTACGCCCACGTGTCACTTATCCTCCGCGAGCTGCACTGGCTTCCTGTGGGCCTCCGGACGCAATTCAAGGTGTTGGTTATCACCTTTAAAGCCCTTCATGGCATAGGGCCAGGTTACTTACAGGACCGCATACTGCCGCACAGCTCCCAGAGACCGGTGAGGTCCCACAGATTGGGCCTCCTTCAGGTCCCGTCGGCCAGACAATGTCAGCTGGCGGGCCCTCGGGGAAGGGCCTTTTCTGTGGTGGCTCCGACCTGGTGGAATCAACTTCCCCCCGAGGTTCGAACTACTCCCACCCTGCCGGCCTTTAAGAAAGCCGTCAAAACTCTCCTGTTCCGGCAGGCCTGGGGCTGATGTCCCCGGGGGGGGGGGGCGGGACATGATCGGACTGGCGGTATGATTGTATCATTTTATTGTTTTATTCTCGGTGACTGTTTTAATTTTGTACGCCACCCTGAGTCCTTCGGGATTGGGCGGCATATAAATAAATTAAATAAATAAATAAATACTCTACTCGCCTTCAGAAGTTGTGAATGCTCCAACACTGGAAGTTTTTAAGAAGAGACTGGACAGCCATTTGTCTGAAATGGTATATAGAGTTTCCTGCCTGAGCAGGGGGTTGGACTAGAAGATCTTCAAGCTCCCTTCCATCATCATCATCATCATCATTCTTATTATGAACACTAGAAAGTCCAGTTGCCTTTTGAAAAAAAAAAAAAACACTTTGCGATAGGAAGATGTGACCTTTGCAGGAATTAAGGTGGTGGTGGGGAGAATATTGTGACCCGACCCTCTTTGTTTCATAGGACACAAAAACCAAGCTGTCCTCTTCTCTCCTTTTTCATTTTCCTCTCTGCCGCTTCTGGCTGAGAAGTTTCTTTCTTGCCATGAGCTAGCCCAGTTTTAACAATTACTCATTCCACTGGCACAAAGCTACCCCTTCCTTCCGTTTGATCATGGCTCGCTTGAATGCCGTTGTCTCTGCAGCTGCGAGGAACAGGCGTTGTACGGAAATAACCTCGCAGAATTCCTTTTGTCACCCTGTAATCATCTGCAGCAGAAATAAGAATTATAAAAAAAAAAACCAGAATCTTTTGACTCATGAAAGATGAGCAAAGCACATTCCTGGGCCGTGAATAAAAACAGCTCTCTGAATTTCCTGGCTTTGCAAGGCCAACTCTTTATTTTTCAGTACAGATCGTCCTCAACTTACGACCAAAACCTCTGTGGCTAAGAGAAAGATTGGTGAAGGGGGTTTTGCTCCGTTTTATGACGTTTCTTGCCACCGTTGTTATACGAATCACTGCAGGGGTTAAGTTAGTCATCAGTTTGTCATAGTCAACCTGGCTTCTCCTGTCGACCTTGCTTGTCACAAGGTTGCAAAAGGGGATCACGTCTCTCTCTCTCACACACACACACACACACAGAGAGGACACTGCAACCGTCATAAATATGAAGCAGCTGCCAAACGTGAGAATTCTGATCGCGTGACCACGGGGTGGGGTGGGGTGCTGCAATGGTCATAAGTGTGAAAAGCGGTCATAAGTCCCTTTTTTCCAGGGCCATTGTGACTTCACGTGGTCACTAAATGAATTGTAAGTCGAAATGGAATTTCCGCTTTAGTTCATTTTCACGGCGCTGAGCCAGAAGAGAGAGTGCAAGTTTGCAAAATCAACCACTAACTTTCAAATCTTGTCATGCCAAAGGAAAACCAAGGATCACAGTCTCTCCTGAAGCGATCACACTCAAGGAATCCGAGCCCATCACACTGCTGAAAATTGAAGTAAGCCCTCCTGCTGGGAAGTGGGGAAGAGGCGAAGACAAGGATGAGAATAGAATAGAATAGAATAGAATAGAATAGAATAGAATAGAATAGAATAGAATAGAATAGAATAGAATAGAATAATGGGATGAAATAGAATGGAATGGGAATGGAGGAATAGAATAGAACAGAATAGAATTAAATTACAGAACAGAATAGAATAGAATAGAATAGAAGAATAGAATAGAATAGAATAGAATAGAATAGAATAGAATAGAATAGAATAGAATAGAATAGAATAATGGGATGAAATAGAATGGAATGGGAATGGAGGAATAGAATAGAACAGAATAGAATTAAATTACAGAATAGAATAGAATAGAAGAATAGAATAGAATAGAATAGAATAGAATAGAATAGAATAGAATAGAATAATGGGATGAAATAGAATGGAATGGGAATGGAGGAATAGAATAGAATAGAACAGAATATGACTAAATTACAGAATAGAATAGAACAGAACAGAATAGAATAGAAAAGAATAGAATAGAATTAAATTACAGAACAGAACAGAATATGGAATAGAATAGAATAGAATTATAGAATAGCATGTAGAATAGAATATAGAATATAAAATCTAGATTAGAAAATAAAATAGAATAGAACAGAATAGAATAGAATAGAATAGAATAGAATAGAATAGAATAGAATAGGAAATATGGAATGGAATGGAACAGAATATAGAATAGAATAATAAAATACGGAATAGGAGAGGATAGGATAGAATAGAATAGAATAGAATAGAATAATGGGATGAAATAGAATGGAATGGGAATGGAGGAATAGAATAGAACAGAATAGAATTAAATTACAGAATAGAATAGAATAGAATAGAATAGAATAGAATAATGGGATGAAATAGAATGGAATGGGAATGGAGGAATAGAATAGAACAGAATAGAATTAAATTACAGAATAGAATAGAATAGAAGAATAGAATAGAATAGAATAGAATAGAATAGAATAGAATAGAATAGAATAGAATAGAATAGAATAGAATAGAATAGAATAATGGGATGAAATAGAATGGAATGGGAATGGAGGAATAGAATAGAATAGAACAGAATATGACTAAATTACAGAATAGAACAGAACAGAATAGAATAGAAAAGAATAGAATAGAATTAAATTACAGAACAGAACAGAATATGGAATAGAATAGAATTATAGAATAGCATGTAGAATAGAATATAGAATATAAAATCTAGATTAGAAAATAGAATAGAACAGAACAGAATAGAATAGAATAGAATAGAATAGAATAGAATAGAATAGAATAGAATAGAATAGAATAGAATAGAATAGAATAGGAAATATGGAATGGAATGGAACAGAATATAGAATAGAATAATAAAATACGGAATAGGAGAGGATAGGATAGGATAGAATAGAATAGAATAGAATAGAATAGAATAGAATAGAATAGAATAGAATAGAATAGAATAGAATAGAATAACAGAGTTGTGATTTGTAATGATGTGATTTGCAATGTCAGAGTGGGAGACCAGCCCACATAACAGGTTCATAGTGGTTTCTCCTCCACCATAGGATGAGCAAGACCTCCCTGAAATCACAGCTGGAGAGATCGACCTGTTGGTGGAGCAGGAGGGATTCCTAATGCCCGGTGAGATTTTTAGGCTGTTTCCTGGTCCTGAAACTCAGGAACATTTTAGGTGAATCAGATTGACCGATGGTCTTCTCCCCAGTGGCCTCAGTTGCTTTCTGGAATCCCAGACCCTGTTTGAAATCCAAGGAGGGTCTCTGGTTTGTCTTTAAACTCTTTCCAAAGAGGTGGTGGTTCTTGAGCAATAGGATAGCAGGGCAAATCAGCTGGTGAGTCTGGAGTTCTATCTCAGCAGATCATCTTTGAACACCTGCACCCTCCAGATGTGCAGGTCCCTTCATTCTTTAGCTACCAAGATCCTGGTTTTGGATCAGAAGCCAGAACAACTGAAGATTCCCCTGGTTGGGAAGGGTTACTTTGTCCCATCTCCATACTGAATACAGAAAAAGAGGGTGAGACGGGCAGCATACAAGATAGATAGATAGATAGATAGATAGATAGATAGATAGATAGATAGATAGATAGATAGATAGATAGATAGATAGATGGATGGATGGATGGATGGATGGATGGATGGATGGATGGATGGATGGATGGATGGATAGATAGATAGATAGATAGATAGATAGATAGATAGATAGATAGATAGATAGATAGATAGATAGATACATGTGTGTTTGTGTATATGTGTGTGTGTGTGAGAGAGAAAGAATAGATATATGACAGATAATAGAGAGAGCGACAAACAGGCCATACATAATAGATATATGTGTCAAAGCAAGAACATCCAATGTTAGCAGTGTTGACAATATGATAGATAATAGTAGATGAAATAGATATAAATAGTCATAAATGAGGTAGATGAGAGAGAAGAGATAGATAGGATAGATAAATGATAGATAAATAGGATGGATAGATAGATAGATAGATAGATAGATAGATAGATAGATAGATAGATAGATAGATAGAAAGATGATAGATAGATAAATAGATATGGATAGATAGACAGGTAGACAAACAGACAGACAGACAGATATAGACAGCATAGGACAGGAATATAATATAATAGAATAGAATAGAATGGAATGGAATGGAATAGAACAGAACAGAACAGAATAAGAAATAGAATGGAATATAGAACAGAACAGAACAGAATAGAATAGAATAGAATAGAATAGAATAGAATAGAAAATATGGAATAGAATAGAACAGAACAGAATAGAATAGAATCTATTGAGAATAGAGTAGAATAGAATAGAAAATATGGAATGGAATGCAATGGAATGGAATAGAATAGAGTAGAGTAGAATAGAATAGAATAGAACAGAATAGAATAGAATAGAATAGAAAACAGAAAAAATAACAGAACAGAATAGAATAGAAAAAGTGTTCCTTTGTCACAAAAGTCTTCATTGCAAAGGGGCTACCAGAGGGGTCCTCTCCCCCCTCCCCATATCCATTTCCAAAATTTCTTCCAGCTTCCCAACTGCTTCCCTCTCTCACTTTGCAGCTCCACTGCTTGCATTCTTTGCTTCCTTCCTTACAGTTTTGCCTTCTCTCTCTCCCCCCCCCCCCCACAGAATCCGTGGAGGAAGCCAGAGTGCCAGAGCCATGGGTGTCCTTGGGGCTGTCGCCTCCCACAGGGTAAAGACATGGGGCTTGGGGACTTCTCCTAATGCTCCCAGTTGGGTTCTGGGTGGGCAGTGGGTGGGGGTAGGATCAAAGGGGGGGGGGGTTGTAGAGTGGTGGAGATTAGGCAGAGAGAAAGAATTGAAAAAGGAAAGAACTGAGCCAGCAGGCTTTTCAGGAGATTCACCCCCCCCCCTCGGAGTTGCACAATCACTTCCTAGTTTGCTGCTGGTCAAACAATTGCAGTGGGCTTCTTGGATCTCAAAAACCTGTCCAGGAAAGTAAAGAATAAATAGCAGAGAATATTTGTGGCTTGGGGCTAAACTGTGCTCTATCAGGTTGGTTATTTTCTTGCAGACGTTTCATGACCCAACTAACTAACATCATCAGTGCTAGAAGGAAGGGAGGAGTTGCTCTCCCTTTCAGCACTGGTGATGTTCCCTAGTTGGATCATGAAACGTCTGCAAGGAAAAAAAACAAGCTCAGGGAGCACCAAGGACCACATAATTCTCCTCCTCCTCCTCCTCCTCCTCCTCTCTGCTTTGTCTGCAAGAAGAAGAAAAAACCTCAAGGAGCACCAAGGACTTGTGAAGTCCACAAGTCATCAAAGGGCCAGGTTTGAAGACCCCTAAACTAGATACAGAGTTTCTCAGCCTTGGCAGCTTGAAGATGGGTGGACTTCAATTCCCAGAATTCCTCAGCCAGGCACGCCTGGCTGAGGAATTCTGGGAGTTGAAGTCCACAAGTTATCAAAGGGCCAAGTTTGAAGACCCCTAGTCTGGATCCAAGCCCGCGGTTTCATCAAAATGACCAACTGAGGAATTCTAGGAGTTGAAGTCCACCAGCCATCAAAGGGCCAAGTTTGAAGACCCTTGATCTGGGTCTAAGCCCTCAGCTTCATCAAAATGGCCGACTGAGGAATTCTGGGAGTTGAAGTCCATAAGTAATAAAAGGGACATAGTTCCCTCACGCTGGCTGAGGAATTCTGGGAGTTGAAGTCCACAAACAGGAGTCTTCCATCTTGGCCCTTTGATGACTTGTGGACTTCGACTCCCAGAATTCCTCAACCAGCGTGCCTGGCTGAGGAATTCTGGGAGTTGAAGTCCACCAGTCATCAAAGGGCCATGTTTGAAGACCCCTGGTCTGGAGATAAAACGAAACAGAAATAAAGCCTGCCTTTTTTTCGCCCTCCCTTTCCCATAGGTTTCCTTTTCCCTCCTCCTTACCTTTCTCTCCCATTGCTTGCTTTTGCCTTTGGGCATTTGATTTTAGAAGCTAAGAAAATTGAGTCACTTGGAAGAAATAAAATGTGTGTTTCATTTTTTTTAAAATTATTATTATTATCTTTATTTTTTGGGGGGGGGACAGGACTGTGGAGGAGACCGTAACTGCGAAAGAAACGGGGCTGATCTTGAGAGAAGAGGGGCAGCCTTCTGTCGGCGTTCCTCTGCAGCCTTTGGGTGAGCGGGGGGGGGTCTGCGGGCAAAGGGCATGATGATCCGGAGAGCCCCTTCCTCACTTTCGCTTGACTCAAAGAAGGCGCGTTTCTGTGTGGGGAAAAAAAACACACACACAAAAAAGAAGGCGGTCCTCAGCTTACGACCACAATTTCCATGGCTAAGCAAGGCGGTCGTGAAGTGAGAGATGCCCAATTTTACACGCTTTTTTTAGACTCAGACTCAGAATCAGAACAGAGCTGGAAGGGACCTTGGAGGTCTTCTAGTCTGACCCCCTGCTTGAGCAGGGGGCTGGACTAGAAGACCTCCAAGGTCCCTTCCAGCTCTATTCTGACTGATGATTGATTGAATGAGTGAGTGAGTGAAATGGTCTGGGGTCTCCTGCTTGAGCAGGGGGCTGGACTAGAAGACCTCCAAGGTCCCTTCCAGCTCTGTTCTGATTGATGATTGATTGATTGATTGATTGATTGATTGAAATGGCATAGGGTCTCCTGCTTGAGGAGGGGGCTGGACTAGAAGACCTCCAAGGTCCCTTCCAGCTCCATTCTGATTGATTGATTGATTGAAATGACCGGTTGGGGGTTGCGGCATTAAAAAGGTTGAGAACCACTGCTCTAGGCTCTCCTGCTTGAGCAGGGGGCTGGACTAGAAGACCTCCAAGGTCCCTTCCAGCTCTATTCCGATCCACCGATCGCAAGTGGAGGACTGCCTGTACAACATCATGCAGAATAAAACCTGCAAGCAGCTGTTCAGATTCGGCCGAGGTGCCAAGGGGAAAAAAACAACAACGCTCAATTAAGCCTGAGCTATTTTTTTTTTCCCCCTTGGCCTTTAATCTTCCCGCTCTCGGCTCATCCTTTTCCTGGAGGGCCGGAAAAATTGGCTCGTTTTTCCAGATGCCACCTGGCCTTCATCCTTCTCCTTATCTTTAGAGAGTACGCCTGCGGGAGAGGAACCCAGGTTCCCACCGACGCCCCCTTCGCCCAGGGCCAGGGCCAAGAGAGGGCCACCTGCCCCGTTGAGTCCCGAGGTGAGATCAAAGGAGGAGGGCAGGGAGGGTCCTTCTCCCCCTCCGAGGCTGCCCCCAGGAAGGGTTCAAAACCCTTCAAGGTCGGCCCAGAAATTCTCAGGCGGTGTTTTTTTGTTTTTGGTTTTTTTTCCCCCCAGCTCCGACTTCCCGAATACGAGCCGTCGCCGCAACGCCCCTCCAAACGCCGAAGACAGCTGCGTTTTATGGACGTGGTGACTCAGATTTCCAGGGAGGACTTCCAGAAACAGATCTCAAATCCCCGCATCCAGTGTCAGCCCCTGGTAGATGTTGGAGGCGGGGAGACGTCGAGGGCAGCGGTTCTCAACCTGTGGGTCGAACGACCATTTCACGGGGGTCGCCAAACAACGTAGTCCGCCATTTTTTCCCCCCTTTTTCCTTAGCTGTGCTACTCCCTTTGATTCTATTGGCGTTTGAAAGCCAATAGAAGAGGCTCTCTTGAATAGAGCCTAATTCGATTGGCTTTCAAAAGCCAACAGGAATTGTCCAGGCTGTCTCTACCCTGCTGAGCCCGCCAAAAGTCCCAGTCTGCAAACGGTGCTGCACCAGTTGAGTAGTCCTCGACTTACGACCGGTTGAGTAGTCCTCGACTTACGACCGGTTGGGATTAAAAAGGTTGAGAACCACTAGTCTAGGGAGACCTCCAGGTCATGGGTTGTGTCCCAAAGGTGCTTTTTTTTTTCCCCAGGAGGCACCTGGACTTTCTCGTTTTTTTTTTTCTTTTGAAGACGTTTCGCTTCTCCTCCCGGAAGCTTCCTTCAGTTCTGACTGGAAGGTACGGGATTCCCCTTCCCGTGGGAATCTGGTCGGAGCTGAAGAAGCTTCTGGGATGGGAAGGGAAAGGTCTTCGGAGAAAAAAGAAGGAAATCCTGAAAAAAAGCATCTTTCAGGCAGGGAGAGGTGGGCTTCAAATGCAGGCGGCATGCCCGTTGCCCTCCAGTGGACTTTTTCATCTCTTCCCTGGCAGGATTTTTGTAATTTTTGTAATTTATATTGTTTTTTTAAGGTGACGAACATATCGAACATTCCTCCTTCCTTCCTATTTTCCCCACAATGACAACCCTGTGAGGTGGGCTGGAGGGAGAGAGAGGGACTAGCACAAAAATCAGCCAGCTGGCTTTCCTGCCTCAGCTGGAACAAGAACTCCTAATTTCCTGGGGATTGGGTCAGTCGTGCAGTTGGTTTCCAGGCCTAAGGCGGGACTAGAACTCCCCGTCTCCTGGTGGTTGGCCCAAAGTCACCCAGCTGGGTTTTGTGTCTCAGGCAGGACTAGAACTCCCCGTCTCCTGGTGATTGGCTCAAAGTCACCCAACCGCTTCCAGGCCTAAGGCGGGACTAGAACTCACTGTCTCCTGGTGATTGGCCCAAAGTCACTCAGTCAGCTTCCAGGCCTAAGGCGGGACTAGAACTCATCGTCTCCTGGTGATTGGCCCAAAGTCACCCAGTGGGCTTTCATGCCTAAGGCGGGACTAGAACTCCCCATCTCCTGGTGATTGGCCCAAAGTCACCCAGCTGGATTTCATGTCTAAGGCAGGACTAGAACTCACCGTCTCCCAGTCTTTAGCCGGGTGCCTTAACGAATAGCCCAAACCGGTTTGCTCCTGTTTGCTACAGGATTGTGGCTGCATTCCAAAATCTCGTCTCTCCCCTCAATTGCCGTTTGTCACCCCCGACACATTCTAATAATTTCCTTTTTTGCTGCATTTTTTTTTTTTTTAGGAGTCGGTTCTCCTGCCAGCAAAGCGACTGAAGACTCCAGCCGAACTGTTGAGTAACCCAACCTACGGTAAATACACCTCCCCTTATCTGCCATTCCCCAGGTTGTCCTGTTCCCTTCTCCTCCCTGGCGGGAGGCAAAGGGCCCGTCCCGCATCCGCGACCCAGAACAAAGCAGGACCTGAGCTGACCGATGGCCAGGAACACACAGACTTTCCCCCCCCCCATCGATTTAGGACCTGTCCTGGACAGTGTGTGCTTATTGCACTAATATCAACGTATGCCAATCGAGATGTAAGGGGGAGTTTATGGTGCCCGCTTTCAATCTTTGCCGCTTGGTGTTAACTCGGTCGGCAAGGAAAGAAAATTCACTTTATCCAGCCTGCTGGATACGCCAGCCATGCAACCCTCGAACTGACAATGAGAATATTGGTAGCTCAGGGATGAAATGAGGGGTCCTGGGTGCTCTCTGAGCTGGGTTGTTTTCTGGCAGACATTTCATGACCCAACTAGGGAATATCATCAGTGCTAGGTGGGAGGAGGAGGAGGAGGAGGAGGAGAAAGAGGAGGAGGAGGACTGTGGGGTCCTTGGTGCTCCCTGAATTTGGATGTTTTCTTGCAGACATCTCATGACCCAACTAGGGAAGATCATCAGTGTTAGAAGGGAGTGCGGGAGGAGAAGGAGGATTGTGGGGTCCTTGGTGCTTTCTGAGCTTGGGTGTTTTCTTGCAAATGTTTCATGACCCAACTAGGGAACATCATCAGTGCTAGATGTTGGAGGAGGAGGAGGACTGTGGGGTCCTTGGTGCTCTCTGAGCTGGCTGGTTTCCTTGCAGACGTTTCATGACCCAACTGGATAATATCATTGTGATATGCAGGTTCTGAGGTTTTGCTCGATAAAGAAATACAGGAAGCCAGAAGTTGCCTTCGAGCTTTAGGTTTTTATTCAGCTGACTACAGACGGGCTCCTCGAAATGAGAGGGGCAACGAATGACAAGAGATCCTTGTATTTATTCTTTCTGATTACATAAGCAACCCAGCCAGCAAAGCTGACACACATAAGATAAAGATTGTACCCAGTCAGTCTGTAGATACGAAGGGAGAAAGCAGAAGTAGCTAAACATGTTCCCCT